GCAGATGCGGTGCTTAGGGCCAGGGTTTAGTGGTGGGATGGCAGGGTTGGGGTAACAGTTGGACTTGATGATCTTAAAGAGCTTTTCCAACCTAGACAATTCTATGATTCTATGAAACAAAACACGTGCAAGTGACCTGTGTCTGCCCGCAGAACGCTGGGTAGCAATGCCATGAAAAGAGCTTTCCACCGTCCCGGCTCTGTAAGCGTCGATCATCCCAGTAGCAACACGCCGTTGCCTTGCAGGGATGGGGGGGGCTGACTTGCTGTGAGAAGCCACTTGCCTCGGGCTGCTTCAGGACATTTCCACCGGCCGATAGCGACCTTCCTTCCTTCCTCCCCTTCATCCGTGATGCTCCAGTGGCACCTTTTCCCCTTGTCCTCCCCCTCACTTTCCCCAGTGTGACAAGGTGGGTTGGGAAGGGGAACGCCTGTTCGGGCGGCCGGCAATGCCAGCACGGGTCCCCAGTTACTCGAACTCCAGTGGGCAGGGTAAGGCGAAGCTGTGAGTAGTCTCATGTTCCTGAAATGGAGCAGAGGCACTCCCTTCCACGCCGTCGTGTGAGCCGGCTGGGCCGAGGCGCTGGGAAGCCCCTCCAGCTCATGTGCTCCCTCGTTGCCAGGGAGGTTTCTTTTGCTCCTTCCAGTGACAAGCGGTGTGACAAGCGGCCAGGCAGCCGCTCACATTAGCAGAAGCTCTGGAAAAGGGGAAACCCCTTTCAGCTGGGTTTCCCCTTCTTTTCCTGCCAAGGAAAGTCTGGCTTGGCAAGGAAGCTCCATAGATGGCAGGGTTAGGGGAGCGGTTGGGCTTGATGATCTTAAAGGTCTTTTCCAACCTAAACAATTCTATGATTCTAGAATAAATATTTCTGCTCCAGACCACACATCTGGTGGCATCAGGGAGAAGAGAGGGGAAAAGGGTCCAAGGCCTCTAAATACACGAAATGATGATGGTGTCAGGATATAGTGGGGTGCGTCAGGGTAGCGGCGTTTGCAAGACCTGGGCTGGAATAGCAGCGGTGCTGTGAGCGGAGGTGGGCCCTTCTGTCCTCTGCAGCAGTACGGCACGATCCTAATGCCTTCACGAGCCCGCAGGAAGGGCTCTTGCTCTTCACAGGTCATCCCAGTCAGGCTTGAAGTGGCTGCCTCTGCATCATGCTGAGTCGAGACTCAAAAGGTCCAGCATCACTGGCTGCTCTTCTATTACACACACACACACACACACACAGAGAATGGCAGGTGTTGGAAGGGACCTCGGGAGATCATCCAGTCCAAACCTCACTGCTAAAGGAGGTTCACCTAGAGCAGGTTGCACAGGACATTGTCCAGGCAGGTTTTGAATATCTCCAAAGAAGGAGACTCCACAAA